CAAATCTTGTGCTCTCTCTACGATCCGAAAGCCAACGCACCCAATTCCTATACACAGATGTGACATTTCAGTCCGGCAAAAGGCACAAATTCATTGTTGATACGGGAAGCACGGAATCTATCATTTCTATTGCTGTGTTTCGATCAATCTGCCCCCAAGCCGAAATCCATCCAACATCCGTGCGAATCCTTGGGGTGCCTGGACACAAATTGCCATTGCTTGGTGAGGTTTCATTGATGGTACATTCCAAAGAACATCACCAACATCACCTTGTTCCCATCTGCTTCCTAATTGCTAAAAACAGTCCATCCATACTTGTCCTAACCGCCATTCGTGAATTGAACCAATGTGTCGCTCCATACAAACTCTATGTCCAATATGCACACCCATCTACAGCACCTGGTCGTGGAATGTTCCAATAAAACGGGAGGTATGAACGTACAGCCGGCCAAACTGGAAGTTGATGGTGAACCCATTTTTTGAGACGACGTGTAATTCCCTACGGCCAACGTGATGTTGTACTACAGGCCCTTGAGAAAATGAAGCGCGATGACATGATCACACGAGTCCCATCCAGTACGTGGACATAGCCAATCGTCATCGCAATCAAGAGTGACAGCAAAACACCGCGAATTTGTGTCGATTACTGCTTAACACTCAACCCGCGTTGCGAAAATGCGCGGCTACCCACATGAAACCGGAGGATTTCATGAAAGCATTACACGGTAGCACATTCTTCTCGAAGATTGACTTGGCTGATGCATACCTCCAGATTCCGCTCGCACCAACCTTCCGGCATTTCACCATTATCAACACACCATGGGGACTGCATCAATACAACTTCCTACCGTTTGGTCTCCACACATCCTCCGGCATATTCAAAGCGGCAATTGACGAAGTCATCCACGGACTCGATGGCGTGTTAGCTTACCAGGACGATGTCATTGTATTTGGCACAACAAAGGCCGAGCATGATGATAGACTTCTCAAACTACTGGAGCGGTTCGCTAAAAGAACGTGTCAATTCGAACTTCCAAATGCATGCTCAGCTCACCAGAACGGGAATTTCTGGGTTTCACAGTGAATGCAAAAGGCTATCGCTATCCAAGTCGTTTCCGACCATTGACTGAACTCCAGTCACCAAGATACCTATACCAACTCAGATCCATCATGGGATGTCTCCAATACCATTCGCGTTTCATCCCGAACTTTGCTACAAAACCCAGCCGCTGTTTGCTGCTCAGTCGACTACGGAATTGAAATGGACTACCGAGTGTGAACAAATTCTGCGTGAAATCATTCAGATGATAACTGACCGACCAGTACTCGCCTCGTTCTCTCCGACAAAACATTCAACCTTGATCACCGAATCATCTTGTCGGCATTGATGCCGTCCTCGAACAGAACGGATGTCCGAGTGTCTGCATCTCCCGTCTACTCAACAAAGCAGAACGAGGATATTCGCAGACCCAAAAAGAAACACTAGTTGTATATTGGATCGTCCATCGCCTACACAACTACCTGTTTGGATTGCGTTCCACCATCGTAACCGATCATCAAGCGTTGCAATATCTATTCAGTCCACAAAAGTCAATCTCCAAACCGACGGCACCGATGATTAAGCGATGGAACATTGCATTGGCTGCTTACGACTACGACATAGTGCACCGTCCGGGCAAAGCAATTCCCCAGGCCGATCTTCTCTTGCGGTGGTCAAAATTCTCGGCGGCTAAGAGGTGTCATTTCATTGCTACTGCTGCCCCGATATCCCAAGAGGAGTTGCGCCGATGTACCAAAAGATACTATGCAGAAATCATAAAGGCGTCCCGACCTGAAGCGGAAGTTCGCAGCATTCTATGCACACCGTGAAGAAATCAGCGTCCAACCTGACAGAATACTATGACGCAACGATCGACTGATCATCCCACTTCCGCTACGCAAGGCATTGCTAAAA